CAATGATCAACGATATAATATTAACAATAGACCGATAAATTGGTCAGCGTCATTTTGATCGATTTGTTCTCACAAAGATTGATACTATCCTCCTTTTTCTTCTTCTTCTTCTTCTTCTTCTTCTCCTCTGCATATTCGGTTGCAGTTAGTTCTTATATTTTATATTTAAAGTACGAACTTTGTATTATACGATTCTCTTCGATAACTTAACATCACAAAAGTTTGAATCTCTTTTCTTTTTTAATCTACACATGTATTTATATCACTTGAAATTTTTTCTATCCAAGACCTAAAACGTATTTGGGTAAATTGTACGCGAATCTAGGAATAGCCATAACGACGGACATCCTGCAAAATGAAATCAATTATTATTACAATTTACTATTAAATATCATTAATGACTTATGCAATCCGTAAGATAATTAATCTTTATCGATTGTTATTTATTTATTTATAAAAGTAAGCTGTCCGGTAGTAATTAAAAAAAGCAAGCAAGTGTAACTGCATTACTTACTCAAATGTAAATAATTTGTGACGATAGTATACCGATCACCATATTATGATCCATCACCAGGTAGTATAATAAATATATCTAAATTGCAAGGTATAATTACAAATGTTATGTGCGAGATTATTTATAAGTGATTGTTAAGAATAGAAGTAGCATTATTAAAATATATATATATACATATACAACAAACTTGTTTCACAGATAAGATATATGATATATCTTATCGATTTATATAATACATTTTTCTACTTATTTATACAATGTTTTTAGCTGAATTATTACTAGTGCATGAAAAACCTATGCAGCTATATGCAAAGACACGTCTGAAACACAGATAAATTTAATTATGCATACATTATAATATCATATTCATTTAACTAATAAATAAATGTCTTTCAGCATGCAAATACATACTTATATTTAAATATAATTATTCATAGTTAATCATTTATTTATAATTACTTACCTATTTACAAGTAAAGAGAAATCTTATATATGCTATTTATTTAAAATAATTTAATTTAAGCATGCCAAATAAATAATAATCCTATAATAAGTAGATTAATTCGATCAGAATAACAGAATATTATCATAGAATAACAATTATTAATATTATTGTTAATTTGAAGGCAGTAATATTACATGTATTATATATACACACACATGTTAACATTATATATTATATATTAAAAATAATCTTATATTAGAGTTATTAATTTGTTTACAAAATATTCTTTGGCAACTGTATTTTTTCT